TATGCCAACATTCTATTTAAATGGTGGATTGTGCATGCATATTCTAATAACAATTAACATAGTAACGATGTAATGGCTTCCAACGGCTATTACCGACGACCTCTAATAGGGTCAGACAGAAGCAAGAAGCAGACATCATTTCCATCACCCCCCCCCCCCATACTAACTGTGCAAACATTCGCATTTTGCCAGATGTTCCAGCTTGAAATAGAATCAACAGATATTTTATGGACATCACTTCAAATAAAGGCAAATAACTAAAGTCTCAGAGCCAACTGTAGTTTTGGCAGTGAGTATTTTTTTGCTGTTGGTATTGTTGTTAACCGTTGACCTCAATATTGATAAAGCATGTTATTATTATTTTGTTAAATTTGTTAAACACATGTGTAGCTATTTCAGCCTTTCACTTCTGACCGAATAAAAATCTGAACCAGGTAGGAACATGTAAATGAAAAACAAAAAGAAAAAGAAACATCAAATTTACCGCCCAGGCACGCTAACCACAGAGTCACGCCTATCCTCTTAATAAAATGAATACGTTTTTAGACAAAACACCTTATTGGAATATTTTCAAACTCTGATAGCGCTATAGTCAGAAACAAATAAAACCTTCGTTATTAATAACAATCAATTAAATATATTAGGCCATTTCAAAATAAAAGTTGTCTCTGTTAAACAAAAATTCATTAAAAAACCCATCATAAAACTTTACTTTTGGTCGCATATGTTTTAACGTAGTAACTAATTGTTTTTGCCCTTACGGAGGAACTATCAAAATTATTCGGGTAGAAATAAGATATTTTTAATATACAATAATAAAACTATTATGAAAATTAAATTGTACATCAGTTTAGTTACAAATATCTATTTATTTTTTCATTAACAGTAGATAAATTTCACAGTTTACCTGATGGAAACGCCAAAACTATCTACACTTGCTACATAAAACTCAACACATGTGGTTCTAATAGTAAAATGACTCAGTTTTCTGAAATGATCATTTCTTACATTAGAGATCCATAAATTTTCAATATCGACGTACTTGTTTAAATTATCCGCAAGATGTGTTCTTTCTTTTAATACAAACCACACATATTTTGATACAAAATGGCAACTGAAAACTGTTGAATAACTTTTTTTGAACTTGTGGTTATAATAATTTGCAACCAAACTCATCGGTTTTAAAAACCGTATTAGTTGTTTATATTTTAAGTCAAAACTGCTTGTTAAGCTATATTACAGAACATGCTGTTTCATGAAGTAATTGTGGTATGCACAAGTAATATAGGACACAGATTGAGTACGTTATGGTAAAACGATTTCAAGGCCTCACCACGTCGTTATATTAATATCGCCATTTCCCCAGTCATGCTCTATCTGACGACCGCGTGGCTTGACAATAGCCCTGCTTAGTTTCTATAGCAAAAAGCTTCGTTGAAAGGTCGTCATGTTCGAAGCACACCTCTTCTCATTGTTTCTTTCCATTATCCATCTAGTGTACGGGGACAAAGGTTTCCCAATTCCTGTTTCAACAGTCCGATCGCAAAAAAAAAATCCAAAGACACTGCGTCTGGCATGCCATTGCATGGAATATTATGAATATTCATTTCATTCTCTAGTTGTTTGAGGGATGCGACCGTTGAACCGATGTGTCATGGAAGCAGATTGTGTACACGTCACTTGTGTTTTCCAGGTTTTGATGCGTGCTGTTATCTGAAGCACGTAGATTGCTTTTGTCATTGGCTTTTGTGTTCATGGTTTTGTGTTTTTTGCTTACCACAATAACGACATTATTTTAAACACGTGTTGAAAATTCTAAATCCCCGATCTTAATTATCTGAGTGTATGAATATCTTCTGTCGTAAGCGGTTGTTACATACCCTTCCTAAAAGCGATAAATTTTGGTTGCATCACACTGCCTACGAATGCCAAATGATGTCAAAATGTAGTTCTTTGCATGCTGTTCCATACTTTTTATCTCGGCTGTGGTTGTCGTCACGTGACTTGCTGCTTTGCACATTCAATTTTTTTTTAATATAACGGACCCAGCCGTCTGTATTATTACTAAACACTGAAATGTTTGACAACATATAAATTCCATAACTATTGATATAGAACTAGAATCACATTAGGATGACATCCTTTAGAAACCGATCATGTCAAAGATAACATACTGTAAAACTCAATTAGAACAATAATTTACTTCTTTCCTTTCAACAGCCTAAACATTTCTGGAAGTTAAAGAGTATCGATTGTTTTAGACTATAAATACGAGTCTGCCAGAAACGTTTAATAGATGGGGCTAACATTTAAGCCATAAAATTTAAGCCAATAAAGACATAGATTAGTCACTTAAGTTATTTAAATCATTTTTATTTTCTCTTAAGGGCGTAAGAGCTCATCAACATCATTGCTCAGAATAAAAACAAAACAGAATAAGGTAAAAAATATTATGTATTAATCGATTTCATACTGAACTTAACAGTACTCATAAAAACAGGAATCTATTAAAGCTGCTAAGGTTAATTTTATTATTTAATCTCAGGAATAAACAACTTATCAAATCAATATATCAAAATATGAAATTGTTGATGCAAGTGAAATTGAATCTAAATATTATAACATAACCGAGTTAGCAAGTTAACTGAATATAAGAATTTTGCCAAATTGAGTAAAGACTTAGAGTAAAGATCTCCCTGAGCTACTGCCTAAATCAGCCCTGAAAACTATGAGTCTTACCACCATAACTGCCTCAGTTGCAGCCTAAATCAGCTGATAAAAGACTACGAGTTTCTTCCACCATAACTCCCTAATCTACTTCCTACGTTGATTGGTGAAGACCTTGGAATTTTCTCATAATGCATCTCTAAGGGACTTCCTACAGTCGTTTGTGAAAACGATGGGTTTTTGCAATTCGATTCCCCAAATTACTGCCCATTTTGGGTTGGCGTATGAACATGGTGTTTGCTATTATTTCCCTATACAGCGTCTTGACAACTTTAACAAGTAAAACAATAATAGGCATAATTTCATGCTTACCATAACTCAATAATTTTGAAAAAGAAAGATGTACTTATCTTCGAACATATGACAGCGCTTTATAGCAACAACGTACTGCCAAGCAATTACTTATGTACTTGCATGAATTTTCCTTAAACAGTGACACGAGTGGAGGCTTTACGGCTGCCGGTTGAGTGTTGACTGCAATTGACTTGTATTTACATAAAGAAACAAATACTTGCTTGCATCAGTCCATGCATGACTCATTACCAGCACAACTGAAGTAAACTAAATAGAGCATTACTAAAAAGTTTTGGCTGCCAACAACAAATTGTGTCCTAAGGTTTATTTGAATGAAAGTGCATCTAAATAATAAATTTTTATTTTTAACTCCTACATGTAAGGAGAATAAAATATATTTATAACTTCTACATGTATGGAGTTCACCAGAACTTTCAGTTGTTCATAAGAAAACAAAAACAATAGAAAATTACAGGAAATTTATTTATTTTTTCTGTTATGTCCGCCCCCCCCCATATTGGATCAGCGGAAAGCTTGAAGGCTTATTCGCTAAAATCTGGATCCGACACCTGTGGTGCGTTTAAACAAAAACTGTAATGTCAGTATCACAAATAGAAATGAATGAAAGCAAATTGCCATCTTTAATCAGCTGGACTGAACAGATGAGTAATGAAGAGATGCTCGAAATTGTGAAAAATAGAACACTGATGGGAAAAATCAGGAAAGGGCAAAAGATATGAGTGAGATACATTGTTTGAGGAGATGAGTGATAAAGGAGGTACTAGAATAAAGTATTCAAGGGAAACGACCTAGGAGTAGGAAGAAAAAGCCCTGCTGGATGATCTGATGGTGAGGTGAAGAGGAGAATAAGAAGGGTTGAAAGAGAAGCTGTTGAATCAACAATTTGACGTTTCAGATAACCATGTTTTATTGAACTTGAGCACTTTACGTTGTGAAAACAAAGAACATGAATTCCAGTCACGTGTCTCTCACACACACATACTAGTTAATAAATACCGACTTCTTTTATACACCGTTCATTACATGTGAGATCCAAACATTTGCATTATAATGAGTAATTTTAAGTTTCAGCCTTTTTAAACAATCGATAAGAAAAATTACTCAAAGTAATTAATGGGATTAATTGCAATATTAATGGTATTTTTATTTACTTTTTTGAATCACTCATAAGTGAATAGGACATTTTTATCCAACAAAATCATGGACCCACAAACGATTTGGTGCATATAAAGAGTTTAGAAAAATGTGATTAAAAATAAAAGTAGGCCATAAGTAATTCTAGGATTAAACATTGAAACCATATAGTTTGCCATAAATTTCAAGCTGATATTCTATAAAAATGTCAAAATAACATTTTAAAACCAAATAACGGGAATTTACTACTCTTAACTTCACTGAAATGTAATTGAAAGTTCATGGCTAATGTGGATTAGTGTTTAGTAGATATAAAGAATTTGTTTGTTTCATTATTTGAGTTATATTTCAAACATTCAGGTACCTTATAATGAGAAAGTTCAACGTTTACGTAATACGCAAAGAGTCAAGAACTCTACAAATTTAAAACCAAAAGGACATTTTGTAAACTATTCAATACGAATGAACCTAATTTTTATGCCACTTTTATGTTGTGTTAACTAATGAATCTTTGTGTTCTGAAAACGTGCCTCAACTGAATCACACCTGAGAAGAATGTATCCTCTAAGGCAATAAGTTTAGGATGATATTGATAGTATAATGTTCATCGATGTAAAAAGGATCAGAGTTTGAAACATATTAACGCTTTCTAAATGTTATAAGTCCAAATTTTGACATTTTAGCCAAATGAACTAGCACATTGATGAATAAAATTATATCAATAAAATTCGCTTCAAAGGGATAATAATATACTGCAACAAATGAGATTTATTGCCATTACATTCAAACAAATGGAAATAAATATTCAACAAAATATAACTTACCGAAGCAGACCCGAGTGCTTCCGAATTCTTTTCCCGATCAATTCTTGTCCCTAAGGTACTTCCATTGAATGGTTTCTTTTCAGAACAAGGGGGAAAAAAAAACGTTTAATACTTTCTGTTTTTCCATGATTTCACATATGCATATATATAAAGTACATACAAAAAAGATAGTAAAAGACAATTAAAACATGCTAAAAACCTCAAAGCATTGTACAATGAAAAATGGCAAAACATTCAATATTGGTTGACTTGAGTATAACATTCAGATGGGGAATCGAATGGAAAACCAGCCTTATGAACAAACTACAATTACTCGAAAAAATTAAACCTTCTTTCCTCATGGTGCACCTAATAAAACACTGAACTTACACAGCTGCTCAGAATAGCTATTCCATAGTGATAAGAAGTCCATAAGAAAAATACTTAAGCACAAGGATTCACATCATATTTAGAAGATTGTTTATATAATTGTCCCACTTGCTTTTCTAGCATTGATGCAAAAATTCAGTAATGAAGAAAAGAAACAGACAGTTGGCATAAGATACCAGCAGTCGTTCATCTAATTACAAAACTCATCACAAAATTTGCTTTGTTTTTTGTTATCATCGAAACTGCATATCATTTTCGGACATAATACTATATGCTTCGTTCCTACAAGCAATGTCATAAAAGGAGTTTTATCCTCTGGATATCCAGACACATATCAAGAAAATGCAGAAGAATCAGCAAAACTGAAACCTAATTTTTCAAAACTAATAAATTTGTTTGGTTTGTTGTTAAGCATAAAGCTAACAATGGATTGCATGAGCTTTACCCATCGCATGTATTGAAACCCGATTTTCAGAGTGAAAAGATCTCAGACTTAACACTGAGCCAAAGGGGGCAAAACTAATAAAGAAGTGAGAAAAAAAAACTCTCGTGAATATCGTTTTCTCATCAAAGTACATGTTTATCAAAATACTTTTCTGGGAACAGGAAAGCAGTGACAATACATGAAACGAACAACTAGTGTATATTTGTCTTGTAAGTAAAGTTAAATTCCTTCTTTCTTTAACGTTAATTTTATTAACAGTTTTGGTTAAAATGTTTAATATATATATATTAATTTATTCATTATATATATATGAATACATTTTTTTACTATGACAATTACTTTAGATTTTTAGATCAGTTCATGGATTTAGAACTATAACTTAAACTTGCTAAGCCCAACCTTGTGTGGTTTCATGGTATTGACCGAAATTACCAATAACATAGAGGGTATCCATCTCATGAATCACTGAATTCTAATCATTATAAGATTTTGTTTCATCACATTACATACTCATAGTTAGACCAGTATATTAAATTACCTACACTATTTACTGGCTTACTTTTGAGTTCTGATCTATGTATGTTATCAGTAATTCCTTTAAATGTTCCCTACCCATGGATTACATTACATGCTTACCAAGTAGTATCAAGCGCAGTACTTATTAAATATGGTGGAAACAAAACTAAAATTACTGTCACATCTAAAAATTTGACATCAAGCTCTCATTTAGATTAATCAATGTAACCCAAACATTTTTTCACAAGAAAACTCATCTGCCAACTGTGAATACATTTCTTATCCCTGCTTACGTTTTAATTTATCCTTTTTAAACTTATACATTTATAGTGTAAAAAAGTATGTAGGCATTTGTTGCAGTCAACATAACTGTTGTCAAATATTGGCGATAATTTCGCGTGTATATAAAAACTGTTTGTGCTGTTGGTATTCTAAATATGTGTATTATACTGTTTGTTAGCCATGAGTGGCCCAGTGGACAGTATGCCCGGGCTGTGAATCCGATAATTTAGGGTTCGCGGCGCATTTCCTCTAAAACACGCTCAGCATCCTGGGGCTGTAAGTGTAACGGTCAAACCTCACAGCATCCTGGGGCTGTAAGTGTAACGGTCAAACCTCACAGCATCCTGGGGCTGTAAGTGTAACGGTCAAACCTCACTTTTTCTTGAAACAAGATTAGTGAACGAGTTGGCGTTGGGTGTTGTTGACTATCTGCCTTCATTCTAGTTTAAAAGCTCAAAAGTAGATCTGATTATACCCAACTAGATTTTTTGTATAGCTTCGCGCGAAAATTATAAAATACACAAACAAAACAATACTTTTCGTTTGTTAACAAATGAAAACGTTGAGTCCAATATTGCTCTCATTAAAACCATTTTTTGTTGACACTTTACCAATCGTACTAATTTATCTTCATTGTCAACGTTTCAATACTCCTTTTCTGGGTTTATCATACAATGTCAAAGCTATGTGAAGTGAGGACAGTCAAAATGTCAAGTCATTCGAGATTTGACAATCGAGAATCAATTTTTTGTATGAAGAAAACTGTCACAATAATCGCGAAGCAGCCTTAAATCAAATTATCATTGTTATTTGAAAGTGAGAAGATGTAGTCATAAGACCGGTAGGAGGTTTTTACACTGCCAGGAAATACGTCATCAGGAGGGCTCGAGGCATCACATGATCTCTCGATCACTTGTCTTGTGGTTTACAGAAGGATAAAGTATTCTTTCAAAATACACTTGCGTTCTGACTAAAGAAAATGAAAAGAACGAATTTATAATCTAAGACAAAAAAGTAAATATAGCTTTTAATTTTTTAAACCGTTGCATAGTCTTATTTATACACATAGGAGTATGTATTATTTACATACTTTATTATGTGATTTTCTAATGTTTTATTAAGTAAAAGCGCATTCATAAACATATCTGAATAGATCGATTGAATAATCACAATTTAGGATCAGAACTTTGTTTAATGAACTTAATCCTTCTCAATGACTCCGAGTGTTAAGATTTTTTATGCGATGGGCTAAACGTAGTTTATCATGTAGGTGTGAAATCTTTAAAATATTCACAATTTGAAAAATGACAATAGTATGAAAGCATTCACACAATATCGTTTAAAAAAGAACTGGCAATTTTTTGCGCTACCAAACACCTAAGTGCCAAGTCTTAGCATTTTACACGAAGATAACAGGTAACCGTGATTTATAAGGCAATTCTTTTACTTACGCGTTAACTTGTAGGACAAGATTTACATAGGCACTCACATAAAGCGGAGCTGTCAATCTAAGTTTGCTGTGACATTTGTTTTCAGATATACAGGACAAAGCGAAGAAATAAACAATCACACAGGATTTCACAGTGTACTTAATTCTATAAGGTGAGAAAAATGATCTAAAATCAACTCAGTACAGCTTTGAAATGTTACTACCAATCTCTCTAAAAATCCAGCACGTTAGGCATATACTGTACGAACAATCAGAGGTATTAAACAAATTATAACATTTTGATCCAAATAAAACTCGCAACGTTTACAGAAGTAATTCCAACATATAAAGCTACACTACATCTACCGTATTTGATTATCAAGTCCCGCCTAAACATGTAAGAAACTTAATTCGCTTCAGTGAATCACTGCCAGAAATATATGGCTCAATTCCAATTAATTTTCATCCAGGGTGGAATACGAGCCTAACCTGTCTATATTTGGACGAACTTTGGTTGGCATCAGGGTTTTCTAGCAACTAATAATTTACCGAGTGTCTCTTCCAGTTTAACCTCGACGCAGTCAAATTCTGGAGTAGCGTATGTGAAAAAAAAAGCAGAGTATCCTGATTAATTCTATTTTTACCGAGTTGATAATTTAGAACCTTCCTATTATTTTGATTCGGCAATTAAAATACACAAATATACAAAAAATAATTAGTTGTTTTTAATTTCTCCTTGTTAGAAAATCTGTTCATTTAAATAAGATATTCAACCGATAACTTTGGAATAAGCACATGAACTTGTAAGTTATGTACTGATGGAGCTTATAGTTATTAATATTTTCAATATATACATATATATTTTATTTTATTACCTATATATCTTAGCTGGTGAAAATAGAAATCTTTTTACAATTTTATTTTCAAAGGGCCTGACATGGGCTGGTGTGTAGGGCGCTTGACTCGCAATCTGCCCAATTAGAAACGGCTAGCGCAAGTAGGCCTCGGGTAGCTTTAAGCGAAGCTCAATATACAAATAAATTATCCTCAAAGCCATCAAAATGTATTTCTGTATATAACGCAACTCAAGAGTATATATTTACCATGTATGTTTCCTAATTTCAAGTCACCCAGAGGGTTTGTTTGTTTGTTTGTTTTGAATTTCGCACAAAGCTACACGCGGGCTATCTGCGCTAGTCGTCCCTAACTTAGCAGTGTAAGACTAGAGGGAAGGCAGCTAGTCATCACCACCCACCGCCAACTCTTGGGCTACTCTTTTACCAACGAATAGTGGGATTGACCGTCACATTATAACGCCCCCACGGCTGAAAGGCGAGCATGTTTGGTGGCACCCAGAGGGTCAGTGGTAAGTTAGTTATGGACTTATAACGCTAAAATTCGGAGTTCGATTCCCTGCTATGAACATAACACAGGTAACTCATTGTGAGCTTTGACTTTAACCTACAATAACATTTTACTTTCACGAAGTTTCACGATCCAATGGGCCCGGCATGGCCAGGTGGTTAGGGCGTTCGATTCCCAATCTGAGGGTCGCGTGTTCGAATCCCCGTCACACGAAACATGCTCGCCCTTTCAGCTGTGGGGGCGTTATAATGTGACGGTCAATCCCACTATTCGTTGGTAAAATAGTAGCCCAAGAGTTGGTGGTGATGACTAGCTGCCTTCCCTCTAGTCTTGCACTGCTATATTAGGAACGGCTAGTGCAGATAGCCCTCGTGTAGCTTTGCGCGAAATTCAAAACAAACAAACAAACATAATCCAATTATAAAGCTTGTCTTTTCGGAGTAGCATGATTGCTACTTTTAGTTTGAATCCGATGGACTGACATTATAAATGTATCGGTAAAACGATTTGTTTTTTCCCGAAGATATATATGTATATACGCATAGCATTATAATATGATTAGCGTAAGTAAACACACCCAACATTAAAGCTATCTAAAACAAAAATAGAACAGACTATAACCATAAGCACCAGTAAACACAAGCCTATGAAACCATGTTACATCTACGA